AGTACTCTGTTCCTCCACAAATTGATATACCAAAGAAGGAAAGAATGTTAAGATACCACAAAACATATCCTGTATAATGTTTACAGAGTACTCAGTTCCTCTTCAACTTGATATACCAAAGAAGGAAAGAATGTTAAGATACCACAAAACATATCCTGGATAATGTTTACAGAGTACTCTGTTCCTCCTCAAATTGATATACCAAAGAAGGAAGAATGTTAAGATACCACAAAACATATCCTGTATAATGTTTACAGAGTACTCAGTTCCTCCTCAGATTGATATACCAAAGAAGGAAAGAATGTTAAGATACCACAAAACATATCCTGTATAATTTTTTACAGAGTACTCAGTTCCTCCTCAGATTGATATACCAAAGAAAGAAAGAATGTTAAGATACCACAAAACATATCCTGTATAATTTTTACAGAGTACTCAGTTCCTCCTCAAATTGATATACCAAAGAAGGAAATAATGTTAAGATACCACAAAACATATCCTGGATCAAACATCTTAGCTGAACATACAGGTTACACTTTCAGTTGTAATCAACATCAAATCTTGAGCACTAGAAACAACAGAGAAAAAAAAAACTGGTCGGTAGTAAAATCTATCGGCCTAACCTCAATCACAATCAAAGTCTTGACTCCAACATTGGACATTTGTACTCTGTAACCACATCACCAAAGTCACCACAGATTAGGTTCTTTTCTCCACAAACATTACAACTACATTGATGGTGTCATGAACCATGCCTGAACAGATCAACTGTATATAAACCAACAGTAGTTTCTAATAAAAGTCTCGGCTCAGAGACTAAAGCAGTACCCACCTCTTCATCCAAGGCAGATGTAGTTCATAGAAAATTCAAATCTAGTACAACCTACTCTTTCTGAAACTTATTTAAAAAAGTAATTAATGAAAATTTTAATCTTTATAGAGCTGTATGTTTAAAATTTCATTAATAGCCTTTTCTCCTTTTGTTGACTTCAAGTATGTCCACTGTGTTCCTTCAACTGGAAATACCAAAGAGTGAACTTGCATGTTTTTTATTATTATAGGCATCGATTCTTTAAGTTGTAAGAAAATATTAGTGTGAAATTATTTTTTATGTTTATAACAACAACTGTTAAAGAATACCTCAGTTCTGACAGTTTGTGTTTGAGGCTATTGATGTAAATAAGAATTGAAAATAGTGGGCCATAAGTCCAAGACTGGTTTACTAATTCCATGTTAATGTCTGTAATATTTATTCCATTGGTTTTACGTCAAAACAAGCATGACTGTTAAAATAGTTGTCCATAAGTCCAAGGCTGGTTTACTAATTCCATGTTAATATCTGTAATATTTATTCCGTTGGTTTTACGTCAAAACCAGGATGACTGTTAAATGTGATCATATAGCCAACATTTTTGCATTTGTTTCAAAATTTCTTATTGAATTTGAATTATTTTCAGACATGGGAAAGTACAAATATGTAAATATATGTGTGATTGAAAGAGATACATCATTAACCCATGAAATTAAGGGTCATATTGCTTATGTAACCTGTATACTAAAACAAACGATAGTGTTATTCATTCAGTGTAGATGTTTCAGTTAAAAACAAAGTTTCAGAGTGCACATAGCAGTAATTGTTATTCAGTTAATGCCAAGTTTGTTGATATGTATTGATAATGAAGCAGTTTAATTAAGTTTTGAAGGTAACTCTGTAAAAGGCCATTACATTCACTTTTTCACCTACCAATAGTGATAGGATTAAGCACACCACATTGTTTGTTTTACAATGTTTAGCCATAGATTATGTAATTACAATAAGTAATGGAGTTTGTCACAGCTCATTAGCTTTATCCAGCATCTTGTATCATTGGACCTGATGAATTGTCTACAGTCAAAATTTGAACTAGTCTTGCACATAATAATTGAAAACCAGTGTAGAATTTTCTAATTTATTTATTTATTGGAAATTATTGTTAAGGTTTACTAATAGTGTATAATGTTTACCTAAGTATTATTAGTGGTTGTATTGTCACTAAATAAATCAATTCACCGTAGGTAATAATAAAGTAGGATATGTCTTTATCCTTTTTTTTTTGACTGGGAGGGTATCACTGGTATCCTTTGATTTTTTAGTCTTCTGATAGTGGAAATACTTATCGAACTTACTAAATACTTAATTAGTAGCTAATCTTGGCTTAATGAAATCCATATGATTTGATTTAGTTTTTCCCTCAATTTTTAGGTTGTGAATTGTACAAAAGTTATTTGTGAGACACTGTTTTGAGAAAAATATTTAAAACAGTCACTTTTGTTTTCTAATTTATTTTTTGTTTCAATGTGGATCAGAATGTTTCATTTTGCAAGTCCATTCAGTTTCAACTTGACTGATATTCATTAGAATATATATATATATTTTTTATATTTTATTTTAATAATTGCAAAAGTAACCACTTCAGGCTATAAATGATAAAAGATACAGCAGAAACTGACCGGGGTATATCTGTGACGTGGAAATTAATCTTCCAAAATAGCATTAGGTCAAACTAAGTAACACAATTTTTGCTATCAATATTCTTGGTCAAAATCGATTTATATTTGATAAATATACTTTCTTTTCTTTATTTATCACATTCAAATATCGTTCAGTAATTTTCTGATCAATGTGTAGGTCAAAGCACAGATTTGGTGTTTCTTAAAACCACTGAAAACTATATTTTATATCCTTTGGGTTGAATTGCAAAGAAATTAAGAAAAATCATACACACGTGTCACATCTTGTTGTCTAAAACTTGCAAGTACATAAATTATTAGAGTAATTTATCATAGAGCACATGACTGATATATATATGGTTTAGGGTGACAGCTCTCAGTTACAAGCTGAAAGTTCATAACCTTACGTATAGTCATGTGTTACATGATTAAAAGTGCTTATCATGGTACAGTTGCAAAATTCCATTCATTTTGTGCAAACAAATGGTAGTTACATGTTTGAACGTAACTCCCAAAATACCGGGTGTGAATGCTTTTCTATGTTCAATTTGGAACAAGAAAGCTAGCAAGCCTATCGCATTACAATTTAATGATTGTAGTAAATATTTTTTGTGTATTTATTGTTATGGTAATATTAATAACTTTGTTATTGCATGTGAAAAATCAATCAATCGCTTCATTTCAGTAAACACTGGGTATGATAACACTCCTCGCATTCCTACCAAATCTGATGATATGCTAAGAGTCAACGTGGCAGTTCCGCAGACAGCAAGCTATGAACAACTGTATCACCTTTTTGACCTAATTCCTGGGCTGGAACGTTGTGATGTGAATGTTGGTAAGTTTATTTGTAATCTCATGCATATCAGGTCGGTCTCGAAGAATATGTCAAATCTTTTCGTAATATAACGAAGTTTAAAATTCATTATATCATTCAAACAATACAAGAATTTTAAGTAAACTGAAAGCATGTCATTAGATTTTGGTGACTAGGTTTGTTAATGATTTTTAATAGGATTTATCTTAATATTCTCATAATTTCTTCAAGAAACGTGTTACATTTCAAAAAAATTTTTTTGATTTTATATTAGAATAGATAGTATAATTATCATATTTTATGTTTCATTTTCTTTTGTTGCCATTACCTTTTATTAATTAATTAAAAAAGTTTGTTTTGGTCTATATCTAATGCAGGTTTGGCTAGCTTGAAGTTTAATAATTCTGAAGCCGCTACATGGGCAAGACAGAAAATATGTCGCATAGAATACCCACCAGGTTTTTTGTTGCAAATTATTGATATACCAAGTGGTGGAGGAATGAAGTAAGTTTTCGTGATAAGTCTAAACATTATTGAGGTGTAATTGGCTCAGATTTCTTTACACATTTAATATATACATTTAGCTGAGAGCCTTATTATCTTACTGAAATTATCCAATTGAAATAGGAGAGTAAAAACAAGGTAAACTGGAGTACAAGGTTTTCATGCTTGTTTACTTAAAGTCTCTGCTCATTTGATTGATGTTGCAAGATGTTTCATGGCTCTGAAAGTGCAGTTACTTTATTTATTTAGAAAAATATTAGGTAAATAAATGAAATAAATATTTTGGTAATGCTTAATTAAATTATATGTGAAATGAAAGATACGTCCATATGTAACATATATATAAATAAATATTAAGAAAAAATTTACTTTTTTTATATAATCGCTTAATTCCAGTTCACCCTTTACCCTTGCTTTGGGTTTCTGTAATCCCTGAGTTTGTGTGTTAATAATATATAAAACTGAGTCTTTGAATGGTACCATTATAGTTATCATCTAATTTGTATTTTCTGAATACTGCTCTTTAATACTTGTTGGATTCACTGAGTTCTCTGAATAGTTGAGTATTATGTAAGAATCACACCTTAGACTAACCTCCGTTTTTTCTAGTTCTTTTTAAAGGAATGTTTGATCAGTGCCATTGGTTTAAATAAATTAAACCTTAGATAGTTCAACCTAAAGCTAGGTTCTTCTTAACAGAATGTTATAAGTGATGCAACTTTGTGAATGCTCTTATACCACATTATTTCTTGCAAATTACTTATAAAGTGTCATATCGGCTCAAACAACAAGGAGAAATAAATATAATTCTGTAATCAAAGTTGTGCGTTTTCTACAGGAAAAGTAATTAAACAAGAGGGAATCCTCAATACCTTTGGTTGTAATTAGATCTCAAATTGGTCAATAGATGGAGCTATGAGGTAAAAGTTTGTACTTGATAAAAAAAAAACTCAGAGTCATTCAGTGAGTCGTTGTGCTGCAGCTACAGGTTAAGTGTATAATTTTTTTACACAAATCTCTTGTATTACATGAACCTGTAAATATCAAACACTCACATTTGATTCATAGATTATTTTTATATTTTCATTTATTTAGACCAGGCGGTGTTGTTGGAAATCGAGTTTCATTAATAGGGTATGTGACATTTGGGAAGGACGTAACTTTAAATTGGTTTTAAATTAAACACTATAATTATCTCCGCCACCGAAGGTGAATGGATGTTGTGTTTTCACCCCCTGTGTTTGTATGTTTGTCAGCAATATTTCTCAAAAACAACTAAACGAATTTGGACAAAAGTTGGTATAGATTTGGACTATAACCCAACTTATAAGTGATTAGTTTTTGGAGGGTCAAGGTCACAACAAAGTCACAAAAATCTCTTATCTGTTAACATAGGGATTGATTTTTCACACTATTTTAGCTCTTTAACTCAGTCAAAAATGATTGGTTTTTGATGAAACTTGGTGGACATGTGTAAAATATTACTCTCCATTGTTCTGCTAAAACTGATCCATGTAAGTTGATAATAACAGACATACAGACAAATTTTTGTATTTTTGGAGATCCGAATATGATCAACGCTGTGTGGCAGAGATATTCGCTCTACTGAGTGCCCCTCTAGTTTTTATAAGTAAATCTTTATCATATAAACATAAGCTTGTTAATGTTAAATATATGCCCAACACCAAGAGTCACTGACATAAAACAGCATAGAATCAATCACAGAATATTTTTCACATTGATAACATTTTGAAAAAAGACCTGTGTTTTTTTTTAGAAAATAAGCACTTTGGTAATAAACCTAAAACGTAAGTGGTATTTATTAATATGAGGTGTTTCAAAAGTTTGGTCTCATGAAGAAATGGAACTTTTTTTTTTGTATGACCTGCTCTTTTTTTTTTTTTTTTCAGATGCATATTAATATTGTATTAGGACCAAGAATTAATGTATAGATTAGAATTTAAACTGAGTATTATATTTGTAATGAAATTAATCTGTATACCACATTTTTTTACAACTCTCATTGTTATTATTATTTCACTGGTCAGTTGAACTCAGATTTTGATAGTTTGTCCTTGTTTACAGTATACTATATATTTAAGCATATTTCAGTTTTTCCGTCTTATTTATTCACAAGAATACTTTGTAAGGATCTCTTACAAGTTTTGATAAGATATATTGAATAATTTGTGAGCATATTAGTTTTTGTTTTTAGTTTAATGCCAAAGGGTTAGTGTTCAAAATTTCTTTTTTTTTACTCACTATAGAATTATATTTTCCAACTCAGGAATAGGATTTTGAAATATTTATAGTAGCAGTAGTATTACATTAAAAGACATAGTTGGTAAAATGAAATTGATTGGTTGATTTATATAGATAGACATTCTGAGATTAAATTTGAAGTCATTTTAATGAATAGATTTTAATATTATATATTATAAATATGTGACAGTGTGTTAATTTTATTACCCTTGTTATACAATGATTGACAGTGCTGAAGTTTTAACTTTGAGTTTTTAGCATATCTAGTTTTTTTATTATCATAGTTAATAATCGTTATGTTTTCTTTCAATTGTAGAGCTGATCCAGCACTTGCCTCAGCTCCAGCTGGACAACTTACAAACCATATTGCTAGTTTGATGGAAAAAATTTCAGAGGCAACAAATGTACTGAAGAATGTTGGTTTTCATGTAAATAACTCCGCAGGTATTTTTATTTTGTTCTTGTTACGATTCAGTTGTTTCTTAATTTTTTCTTTTTAAATTAATATTTTGCCACGTTTAGTTATTTAGATTATACGTATAATAGAGCTTCCGTTTGTTAGGTATAGATTCCATAAGGTTTAAAATTTTAAAAAATGTTACACCCATCCTTTGCTCTGTGCATTTCTTTTCTATTTAGCATTCTGACATCATTGTTACTTGCGTAATGTAGTAAAATGTAGATAAAAAAAAAAAAGTGTCCAACTCGACTTTTGTTTCAAAAAACATTACATTCCAGAAGTTTATTTTGTCTTCAGTTAGTTTGTCCCTGGTTTTAAAAATTTCTTCGTGTGTTCTTACATGCATGTTTTCTTTCCATTAAACACAATATTTTAATTATTGTTTTTATAAAGAATTCTGTTTTTTAGGTATTGCACAAACTAATGGGAACAGCATGCAGGAACCTGGAGGATTGCCTCCCCCTCAACCTATGGCCAAACCTGGTAGTGAGATGAAAGAACGATTGTTTATTGTCATGCCTGATCGACTGCCAACCAAAATGTTGGAGAACCTGTTCTGTCGATTTGGAAATTTAATGGAAATTTATCTCCTTCCTGGGAAAAACTGTGGATTTGCAAAATTTTCAGACAAGCAATCAGCACTTCAAGCTATGCAGGCAAGTATTTACACTCTTTAAATATAATATAGTTTTTAAAATTAAATTAATAATGGGTATTTGAAGGACATTTTTCAGAAGTTTATTATTTAATAATATGCTATTGCCATTAAGTTATCTAGTTATTTATAACAAAGTCTTGAATATTCACATAAAATTTTTTTACAAATAAAAATTCAAATAAATATTCTAATATTTATTTGAATTTTATTTGTAAAAAGCTACTTTCAAGAACTGAAAGTGTAAGAGTAGTTTTTACGGCGACCTTAAAAATGAGTTTCAAAAATAAGTTTTTGATATATAAGATCTTAATTAACACCTAAGCCTTTAACAAAATTCACCTGCAAAAACATTAGTGTTATTTATCTTTGAGACTGGACTTGTGACTTTTCAGTTTATGTATTTACACTTACAAACAATCATTAAAGGTTTTCTTAGAATTTTAGTAAACTGTAAAGAAAATATCACTTTTATGTTTTGGTTCTAGAGGATTAGTTGAAAATTTTCACAAATTCCTGAACCTGATTTTTCAGTTTTTTAGTTGATTTTTTTTCACTTTCATTTTTCTTATGTTAATGAATTTGGAAACCATGCATTGCCATATTGCTTAGTCTACATTGTTTTGTAGTATCATCATGCCATGTTCTCTATTTCTTGAACCCATTTTAAATCCTGTATAGTATAGATAATCTTAATTAATAATAGTACAGCTTGCATAGGCCATGTAAGTTCTTGAAAGTCATGGAATTTTTTCAGCAGATTTTTCAGTACTGAAAGTCGTTGAAAAACCTTTGCTAATCTAACCACATCTCTCATATCTTCCATTTTTATCAGTGACACTTTGTACCATTGTGCTAATTTCAGTTTTACGAAAGACTATCTCTAAAAGATGTGACTCATAAATATTGTAAACATACTGACTCGGCATCATCGATCAGTAACCAGCTCTGAACTATGTACTTTTTCAGATTTTTTTATTGATCCTTAACTTGTCTCTATTTGTTGCAAATTGAGAGAGAGTGGAATTTAACTCGTATAAATTATCATATATTTTGTACATTAGATTAGACGATAATAAATTATTTGGTTATTTTAGTGCCATTACATTTTTGTGGGTATTCTATTTTTGTCTTGATGCTGTCATTAGAAAAAGAAGCTGCCCACAAATATTCGACTGTAGTAAATTTAAAAAGATCATTAAGAAGACTAGCTTGCTGGTTCTTCTGAATGAGAATGAGTAAGGCAATTAAAGAAAATAATAATTAATAGTACATGTTGTTAAAGTGAATAAAGTAGTTTTCAAAATCCTATCCCTAATTCTGATGTATTGCGACGTAAATAAATGAAAAATTATACTCTGCCAATTTAATCTTCACATTCAAGAAAATTTTTAATATAAATATTGCCTCAACCGTTACTCTGTGTGTCATATCCCATCCAGCTTGATGGGCCATGGTATTGGATAAAGGCCTTGTTGGCACTGGATGCAACAGATACGGTGTGGTTGATATATTATATGCTTCTTTACATACACTCAGAAGATTCAAACATTTTCAATATATTCATGTTGATGCTCTGTAATAAAAAAGCAGTATTAATTAACATTTCTAATAATATTCACATTAGCTGTAGATATATATATTTCCTCTTATCTTTTTTCAGATTCTCAGTTAGAGATGTATAAATTACCATATAATGTTGTCAAGTCTCTTGTGTTTCAGACTTTACACGGTTTTGAGATCGCAGGAGGCAGGATCAGAATAGATATTGCAAATCCCGAAAAAGGCGATCGAGACAAAAAACGCTCACTGCAACAGGATGATGGAGACACCTTTACCAAACAGTCACGTAATGATTCGGCCTAGCCCGAAGTAAAGGTATGCATGACTTTTGAATTTTAACATCTTTTATTTTATTTAGTAAGACACTGACATTTTTGTAAAGATCTCGCAAATCTTTATCAAAATGGTTTTCAACATTTTATGTGTTAAGATTTTTTTTTCTTCTTTAAAATCAAAAATTCTAACTGCATTAATGAGGATAATATTGAATGACATGCAAGAATATATCCATTCATGTTTGATATACAGTTCTTTGTCATATAAATGTGAAAATTTTCAGATGTGAAATTTCTATGTTTTTAAGTCTTTTTGAAAATTAAAAGGTACTAAATTATTCTAACTGAGGTAAGAAAATAATATTTTATTATTACTTTTAATACATGTATATATGTACATACATAGGCTAAATTGGTGTATTTCATAGTTTCAGTGTTGTAAGTGACTCGTTATATTAAGTATAAGATGTTTTTTATACATCCTACTTGAGAGATTCGGGGACAATGAATGACTTATGTTCAGTATGTCTTCCTTTCTGTAGTATCATGTGTTGCATAATTGCACACAACACTGTGACTTGTGTCTTAAGAAAGTCCATAGACCTCTAAAGTTACTACATCCTTAAGGTCCCATGTAATGTGTGAGCTGCACTCAACTCACCCCAGAAAAAAAAAGGAGGGGGGGTGTTCAAATCAAGTAACATTCTAGGCCAGAAAATCCCACATCAATAAATGTCACAGTTCGAAAAAACGTTGCATTAAAAGATTTCACAAAGAAACGATGAAGCACAATGTTTGCTACTGTGCTTCCGTTTACTACCAAATTTCATGTCATTCACTAATTATACCACAGTTATTACAAATAGGGAGTGTAAGATGTGTACAAAATTACCCTGTATATTTCTCGTTAATTGCATAGTTCTCATTATTTTAATAGCTTTTAAATGGTAAACATACATTTTAAGCTATTTCATATATTCTCTATGCTTTTATTAAAATAAGCCAGATCATAAGTTAAGAGTTAATGTTAGGTTTTTGTTGTTATTGTTTCGTTGTCTGTGATAAAGTATAAAATACTTTGCTTGAAAAGAAAGGCAAATACACCAAGATTTAACAATTTGTTTTTAAATTTACATCTTAGCAAAACTTAACACCAGTTGTCAATTTTTCATAGCAAATTTTTTTTGGCTGGCAACTGTCAGAGTACTAAATGTTTTCATCTGAAGGGATTTAAAGAAATACATATAATTATGCTGTATTTAAATTTTATATATGACTATGCTGTTACAAAAAGAATCTGCAGATCTAAATTAATCTTTAGAACAACAACTGCTTTGCAATGTGCAATTCCCCATCCCTTAATCTAGTTTTTTTTTTGTAATTACATTGCTGTTCTGAACTTTCTACAATTTTTTTTTAGTTTGTAAGTAACTTTTTTTACTGTATTTGTACTTTTCTTATATGTATGTTAAGACTTTTATTTTCATTTGTTACATAACGTAAATTTTAAGGTTTTTATATGTTTTGGGGTTGATTAAATTAGATTCATTGTGATTGGATACAGTTTTGCTTTAGAAAACACAGTTGAGAAAATTTTAAGTCTTAGAAACATTCATAATCACATGAAGTATTTATTGGCATTCAATAATGTTTTGTACATTACTGATTTTGTAATGGTAGCAGGGATGTTACACAGACAAAACTACATAAAACTAATTTCAATAATACTAAACAGATAAACACCAGGAGAAATGATTCTCAGATTACTTTTTTTCTACATATGGCTAGTCTAAGGTTTATGTGTCCTGATATTGCAGCCTTAAGGTTAGCTTTGAAACTTGACAAGCATTTTAAAGAAATAGAAAACAAGAAATTATTAAAATTTATATTTTTCAAGTAGCTTTCAAGCTTATTTTATCATGATAAGTGTAGCCCGATACTGAAATCATATACTTGTAAACTTAAAATAAATATTGTTTATGACATTGAAAAATCAATACATTGAGGCTTTCAAAAGTACTGTGTGTGTGTTGAATGTTCCAGCTGTTGATCAGTTTGTAACTGTTTAAGTAATTTTTTATATATTTTAGACTGCAATTTAAATTACATGTTTCAACACCATTAGGATAATTTTGTCACTGTTAAGACTTATTTGTTGGAAAAATATGATCAACAAAGTAAATTTTCTATGAGAAAGTTTTGGAAACGTACAGTTTCTTTGATGATTACAAAGATTTGTGAAACTGAAAAGCTAGAGTTGTACCAAAATAGTAAATCATTGGACATGTGGTTGGAAAAGCATCATAATTTCTGTTGAGCTCAAGGGTTAAAAAAACAAAGTGTTCTTGAACTTTAACTCTTGACATTACCAAGTAACATTTGCCTGAAATTTTAAAATTTAACACCTATTTATTTAATTTTTTATTTATCTGTTTCAATGGTGCAGATAGCTCTCGTGTAGCTTTGCGGGAAATTCAAAACAAACAAACGGTTTCAATGTATTTCTGGATGTTAATTCTCACTGTGGGATTTTTAATCATAAACAGCATTTCTTAGCTAGTTTTGAATCACAGATTCAAAGTGTAGAGTGAAACTTAGCAGGAATGGGATAGTAACTGTGGATTCTTGAACACGTAATCTAACACGTTAACCACGTGACCGTGTTTAACTTAAGATTTAATGGTCTTCATACACCTGTTTTTTAGCTCATTTTTGAGACAATCTTATAATCTACCAGTGAGGATCTTCATGATAAAAACCTACACCAGCACAACTAAAACACACTCACAGATTCAAAGTGTAGAGTGAAACTTAGCAGGAATGGGATAGTAACTGTGGATTCTTGAACATATAATCTAACACGTTAACCACGTGACCGTGTGTTAAAAAAAAGTGATGGTGAAATTTCACTGTTGGATTAAAGTGGCTCAACAGTTGGTGGTGGGTGCTGTTGGCTAGCTACCTTTCCTCTAGGCTTATCATTTCAAAATTAGGAGTGGCTGTGTATGGCTAGCTTGTGTAGTTTTGCAAAAAAATAGCTGAAACAAACTAACCATTAAACCTTTTAGATGAATTGCAACACTCTTCCCAAACTATCTATTTTAAAGCTATCACATAAATTATAGAATACATCCCTAAATCATCTTTAAAACAATGTATATGTTAATTCAGGGGAAAATTGGGCACAGTTTCTTTTTTTTTGTTTTTGGACCTAGTTCAGGTCAATGTTTTCTTTAACCTAAGCAAAACCTTAAAAACAGGTATCTGCTTTAGTTGTTGGTTAAAACAGCTTATATCGTATACTGGTTTGTACTTACATGAAAACTACACAGTTGCTAGCCTTGAGAGCATTAGAACTGATGGAGTTCCACATGGTTATTAGCCTTGAGAGCATTAGGACTGATGGAGTTCCACACAGTTGCTAGCCTTGAGAGCATTAGGACTGATGGAACTCTACACGGTTGCTAGCCTTGAGAGCATTAGCACTGGTGGATGTCTACACAGTTGCTAGCCTTGAGAACAATAGCACTGGTGGATATCCACACGGTTATTAGCCTTGAGAGCATTAGCACTGATGGAACTCTACACAGTTGCTAGCCTTGAGAGCATTAGCACTGGTGGATATCCACACAGTTACTAGCCTTGAGAACATTAGCACTGATGGAGATCCACACAGTTACTAGCCTTGAGAGCATTAGCACTGATGGAGCTCCTCACAGCTGCTAGCCTTGAGAGCATTAGCACTGATGGAACTCTTTGTTAAAAGAAAGTTAGTTTTTGTAAAGTATTTTACTAACAATAAATACATGTTTTTACTTCTGTCTAACTTATAAATTTTTAAATGTACTACTTTTTAGAATTAATCTTCTCCTGGATCAATCATAGTTAGTAGCCTATTGATGACTTAAGACTAATTAACTAGTTATTTCTTTTATCTTAGCAACAACTTTTATTAACCTGAACTTACACAGTTGGACAAACTTTTTAAAAATAGTTGTTTATTACCAAGTTCTTGAAATCTTGTGGTATTTATAGCATTAAAGTAATATGAAGGAAAACCTCTGTTTTTATCTAAAAATCTGAAACATGAGAGAATACGAGAAAATCAGTATTTAAGTACCTAAGAAAGCATGGGTACTTCATGTATTATAATAATCCTCGTAGCCAATTAAAGTATAAAAGGAAGTTTTAAGTGCCTACGAAATCACTTGATGTCCTGGCTTCATTAAAAAAAAAACTGTGCAAATGTTTTTGGAGGAAAATCTTCACAAGATACTGAAGGTTTGTTTATTTTTTATATTTTTTTCATTTTGAAGGATGAACTTGTTTCCTAAATCTGTTGTTTGTTCCAAATTGTGCTCTTGATTCTGAAAAAGATAATAATAAAAAAGTGTTCAAATTAAGTAAGAATTGACAGTGTTATAACTATAGTAGTAAAGACTTATTACACTGTTACATTATACAGTTCAGACATTTGGGATAGAAAATATGTTAAACAGTCATATAACTGACCAAAAACATTGCTTATATGAACGTAAAATGTAAAATGTGTGTTTAAGTAGCTTTCTTTAAGAACAGACATCACAAGAAATTGATATTGATACCGATAACATGTCTGTATATTCAAGACTTTATGATATAGGTTCAAAATCATATGTGTGTTTAAGTAGCTTTCTTTAAGAACAGACATCACAAGAAATTGATATTGATACCGATAACATGTCTGTATATTCAAGACTTTATGATATAGGTTCAAAATCAAATGTGTGTTTAAGTAGCTTTCTTTAAGAACAGACATCATAAGAAATTGATATTGATACCGATAGCATGTCTGTATATTCAATACTTTATGGTATAGGTTCAAAATCAAATTATTTTATGTCTTAATCGTGTAAGTCGATAGTTGCAGGTCTGAGAAAACTTGTAAAATGTGCAGTAGTAAGGACACTGTAGTTGAAGACTATGAAAACACTGCAACATTTGAAACTGATGAGTTTATGTCATTCTATGATTTTTCTTAATCTCTTTTCTTTTTGTAAAACATGTGTAGGCTTGACAGAATAAGGTGATAACAGCTTACCTTTGTGACACACTCTGGGCTTTAAACATCAAGTATCGTGATACTATTACCTTACCGTACTGTAGACGTATTGACATCGGAAACACTGTATAGTTCAAAGTCGGAGCATACCACTACCAAGGGACTGTTCTTAGACAAAGAGCTGACGTAGTTGAATGTTTCATGCTATTAAGTGTGACAAGTGCAGACAGACAGAAAAAAACAGATCTGAATTTCAGGCAGTGCTGTCTCTCTAGTTTAGGCTTCACTACACAAAACTGTTTTTGATTCCTTGACATTATTTCTTCAGTTAGGGTTAACTGTATAAGAGTAGCATACTATGCTAGAAAATGTGAACGTGGCAGTTTTATTCTGACTGTTAAAGATGAAGACTGAAGTATTGTCACTAATCAATAATGTGATAATAGTGTAGCCTAAACTAGAGTAGTAGCAAGTTTTGTCTGCATTGCTTTGTTCGTCGTTTCATCTTTTTAACTTTTAAATATTCAGCTTTTGTTGTATATAATTTTATCTATCATATATGCCATGGTGTTGTGTATGAAAATTTCTGAAAATAAAAGCCCAGAAAAAATTTCAAGACTCCTTTTGTTGAAGTAATAAATTATAAGTACGTCTTAACATTTAGATATTTTGTTTTCCTGATTAAAATATTATTATTTTGTACTGGTTCTTGCATAGAAATAAAGGATTTAAAGTTCATTATTGTCTTTATTTGCATATCTATTTTTAAACAAAAAAGGGATGTAAAATATTGTTTACTGGGAATACAAATTTCTTTGTAGTCATACTAAACTCAGAACAAGAAAGAAATATGTGGTAAAATACAACAAAATACTGAAGTTAACCATAAATTCTAACAAAGCGATTTAATTGTGTAATGTATCAGAATGAATATGATATATTAAATATAATTTACGAGAAAATTGTGCCTGTTTTAATGACAGGAAAGCTGGGCCTATAAAACAACAGTTTGAAAGCAGTACTTGATTTGAATCGGACAACATTTCGTAAATTTGATGATGATTATTATATTGATTCAGTTCTGTAGCTATTGTTGTTTCACATGGATACGTGCACATTGGTAGGATACAACCGGTTTAGCTTGCTGTTAAGAAATGTAATGTATAGTTGATAATCAGCAGTAATATAGTTACGTTCAGAACAAACGTATCAAATAACTACACAGGAATGCCATATGGTTGAAGAAAAAAAATTCAGTTCTTACTCAAAAGATAAACAGAAATGACAACTGAAGGAAAATGGGAATTCCAGTCTGAAAAAAAAAAAGAATCTAAACAGATAAATGGGAATGATTTAATTTCTTCAGTTACCTTCCTACTTTGAGTGTCAGTGAAACCTGCAGAGAAAAATATACAAAAGGCAGTGTATTCAGAGTTGAATTTCTTGAACACCCATGTTTGGCAAAAGTTCTGTATCAGGGTGACGTTTGTGGTTGATGTATGTATGTGTTGTAGTTTATGGGTATCGTGCAGTTATAAAATATGTAAGATGTTTATTTTTTGGTATTTGTTTTGTGTGTGTGTGTTTTCAGACTTTATGGTATTTTGATGTTAGGGTTGTACCCCAATATGCCAGGAATTTGTATTTGGATACAGTTTTGTTTGTATTGTTTTGTCTGTAATGTACAAAAGGCAGTGTATTCAGAGTTGAATTTCTTGAACACCCATGTTTGGCGAAAGTTCTGTATCAGGGTGACGTTTGTGGTTGATGTATGTATGTTTTCTTTTCCCTCTTTAGTTGTAGTTTATGGGTATCGTGCAGTTATAAAATATGTAAGATGTTTATTTTTTGGTATTTGTTTTGTTTGTGTGTTTTCAGACTTTATGGTATTTTGATGTTAGGGTTGTACCCCAGTATGCCAGGAATTTGTATTTGGATACAGTTTTGTCTTTATTGTACTTGTCATGGTTGATTCTCTTTCCACTTTTGACATTTTACTTTATAAGTATCATTCAAGTAATAAACTTACCTGTGATTTTTTTTTTCTTTCCAGTTTCCTTTGTTGTGAGCATATTGTCCTGGTATGGAGCTCTTTACTTGGGCTTCTTCTTGGCTAAATGTTTTCATTTTGATATCTTTGCAATGAAACTAATATGGTTGTCCCAACTTCTGATTGGGCTAACTGTCCGTATGATTTTTGATTTGCTGATGTTTATTCAGCATTACAAAAACGTATCGGTACAACTGCAGAAGTACACACTTAAATTAATGCCATCTCAACAGTGTCCTTGTCTCAATTTACTCTCCATAACAAACTTACTTGATGGATTGCATTAAACCAAATCTACAGAATGATGATGATAATTGGAATTTAAAGAGTACGATTGTAATGGCATAATCTTGGGTTAAAAATCAGAATGATTCACCCAAAGTAGAAATGGTTTTGGATATATATATAAATCATATTACTTTCAAGAAAAAACAGTTATTTCTCAGAAAAAACATACAATTACTATTACATAGAACTTACAAAAGGAATGTAATATTATTACTCTGTAATAACATATTATTTTGAAATTGCAAGTGAACCACAGTTACTGCTAAGATATTGTATATTTTCTCTTCAGAAGTAATGTTTAGTTTCTACCCAGAAACAATAAGATTACTATTTAGAAATGATGTACAGTTACTGTTCTGAAATGACAAAAATTACTACTCAGAGAGTTTATGCTTAGTGCTTGCAATTTGAACTAAAAAATCATGTATTACCCCCAAAAAGAATTTTAAGTTACAAGTTCAAATTTATATAAAACAACTATTCAGAAATGAAATTTGTACACCCAAATCAAGTTGTATATCCTCAGAATCAGATAAAAATTATTGGGAATCTGGGAAAGATGTATAAAAACTTGGCTGAAAAACACCACAGTTGCCAGCTGAATGGAATTTATTAATTAAAAGTTCTTATAAGTTAAATTCAAGCAGAGCAAACATTCCTGTTTAATAACATTTTATGATGCTGTTACGCAGAACAAACATGTTTGTTTTGTGTCCTCCAGGTTTTATTCATCACACCCATTTGTTATGTCAACTGTTCGTTGAAAACATTTTTGAGGCCAGTGGAATATGTTTAAACAAATTCATCATTAGTGGAGGACAAGTTATTAAAGATTACTTATGAAGATTTCTCCTGTAACTCTGAGCAAAGTTGTATAATATTTGAAGTACTCTGGTGTTAAACAGTAGGGAAAAAAAAAACTTTTTTTAGGAGACAGGTATTATAATTATTATTTTCAGTGCTAAAACCTACATTTTGGAAATGGGACTAATTTTAAATGATTTCTTGGAAGATTTTATGTTACTTTTGTAAGGATCATCATTCGTTACATTATTTTGCTACTGAGAATACTTTAAACTAAAATTAGTGAGTGTAGGTAGTTTATACAAAGATTTAATTATTCCAGTAAGGTGTTTACTGAAGTTATAGTAACGTGTTAAGTATTATATCCTGGCAATGTTAAGTATTATATCCTGGCAGTGTTAAGTATTATATCCTGGCAATTTAAGAAAGGACATTTTTCTTTACTCCTCTATACTTAAAATGACATCCTGCCATGCCTGTAGTTGGTTAATGCACAAGTCTTAGTCATTGCTATTTGTGTCTTTTAACCATTAGTCGTTCATTTTGCATTCAGAAATCACAGGGTGTATTTTGTACTGTTATTTCTAAAAACATTTAATAACACTAATTAGGCATGTGGCCAGATGATCTAACTTTATGTTTTGTTGTTTTTAGGTTTCTCGTAGATAGATTTTGTCATAAATTAGGAACACCTAATTTTCTAGATTATCATGTTACAGGCCTGGCAGATAGGGCACTCAATTCACAGTCTGCAGTTCGTGGGTTTGAATCCCCATCATCAAACATGCTCGTCCTTTCGGGCATTGAGGCATTATATTGTGATGAACAATCCCACTATTCATTGGTAAAAAAATTGCCGGTGAGTGGTGTTGACTAGCTGTCTTCCCTCTAGTCTATCATTGCTATATTAGGGACAGCTAGTGCAGATAGCCTTCATGTATCTTTGTGCAAAATTCAAAACAAACCAAACTGATCATGTTACAGCCAAGCATATTGACAAAACTCCCACTCCTATGTATCTCCACACCACACAATAAATAATTATAAAAGGAAAACTGAAAACGTTACAGTTTCTATAATTTATGATATGTTCTTGTACAGAAGTACTTTTTGTAACCTGTAGTTGACATTGTGGATGAAGTAATGTTAATGAATGTATAATTACTTAAGACGAACAACAAAAACTGCATTTTTAGACACTTATTAAATGTGACTTGTCAGTTTACATTTTTAAAATATATGTGTACTTAATTTCATACCACAGTGATTTATACTGTATCATCCCACTGCATCTTGATTATCAACAGTAAACTAAGGTGCCAGGATCTTTACAGATAAATAAGATTTTAAGATGAATATGTTGAAGGTAATAATAATTTGATCTTCTTCTTCACAAGCACCAGAAAAACCCTTGGTCACTAAACAAAATTATGTAAACACACTACCAATGTAGTATTGCAGTAAGAATTCAGGTTCCATCCAGCAATGACCTCGACTATGACATAAAATAGAAGAAAAAAGATCTATTGGGTAGATCATTTTTAGGTGTGTGCAAAATTCAATTTTTATTAGTTGCAACTCAACTATGAATATTTTATTAAATAGTCTATTCTCCACCGATATTAGTAAAATCAAAAGACTGAAGGTTGGCATATAACCATTCCAGAAGGATCTAGAGATGGTGTTCAAGCAGCAAAAGGACAAGTCAAACCTTGGAGTCAATTCTTTCATCCTGTAGCCAAGCCCATCAGAAACGTGGATGTTATCTGAATGGGTTCACATTGAAGCAATGACCCACACATACAATAACTTATTGGACACTGTAAATTG